GGACAATCTTACGACAACGCTTCAAACATGGCTGGCAAGTATTCAAGACTTCAGGCGCGAATCAAGGAAGTCAATTATCAAGTTTCATTTATATCATGCTCAGCTCACTCACTTAACCTTGTTGGCACAAATGCAGCAGAATCCTGTGCAGAAGCTTGCAATTTTATTTGGTTGATCCAATATGTTTACAACTTTTTCAGTTCTCCAAAACCACACACAGCAGAAATCTTGTTCACTTAATTTGAAAAGTCTCTCCACTACCCGATGGTCTGCTTGCGACGACGCAGTTAGAGCATTGAAATATGGATGGAATCAGGTTAATAAATCACTACAATTTTTAGAAAAGGATTCAAACCAAAAACCAGAAACTCGTGCTGAGGCTAGAGGAATTATTTCTAATTTGAGTTTTCTTGAAACCAGAATTATGGTAGAAAACGGAAGCGGCATTACGACGAATCAGTTGACAATGAAACAGAATTTCTTTATTTCCAAATGATCTAGACGATACCTTAAATACTGAACTGTTGCATTTAAAGTCTCTTTTGGCTACCTTAGACCAAAATGCAGTTCCACACACTCCAATTGATTTGTGTAAATGGATAAGATTGAATGACTTGCAGTGTGTATATCCAAATGTAGACATTGCACTTCGGATGTACACTTGTGCTCCTGCTACAAACTGTTCGGCCGAGCGATCTTTTTCTTGTTTAAAGCGCGTTAAAAACTATTTGCGTTCGACAATGTCCGAAGAAAGGTTAAATTATTTTGCAATTCTATTTATCGAAAAAACAATTTTGCAAGATTTAGACATTAATTTCGTTATTGATGAATTTGCGCGCAGGAAGGCACGTCGTAAAGTTTTGAAATAACTTTTATAAACTGCAATGAAAGAAAATTTATTTTTTTAAATTGATAATAATACATTACATGAATATTGTTAAAGAATGTACTTAATAAAAATGTTTTAAAAATATTGCGTTTATATGAATTTAATTTCTAAATTTATTATAAAATTTAAAATTGGGGCGGCAAACCACGAGTGCCTCTAGCCGGCAAAAAGGTTAATCCGCCATTGACTGTGGTTTAAATTAATATTTAAAAATAGCGTATTCGTTGTTACGAATCGTCAAATCTCATGATTTAGAATTCTGATGATCAATTAGAAACTGCTATCATATTTTTTAATTGAAAAATTTTCAACAAATGACACCCGCAATCAGGGCCGCCGACAGACAAACCGGGCCCCCAAGTTTAAATACATACTGGGCCCTTCATGTATGTGTATATATATATATATATATATATTAGAGATGCACCGAAGTTCGGTATATATATATATATTCAAATCCGGCTGAATCCGGTCCCGGCCGGATTTGGCAGCCGGATTTAAGCGTCTATCAACATTTAAAAATGTTATAAATAGAAAAATTTTTTTTATTGAATTCAATTAATTTTATGTCAATAAGTTAAAGGCTAAGCATACATGACACATTGTGAGGTGAACTGGACAATTTTCCTTATGCTATAACATGGGTTATACATAAATTATAAGCTGATCTTTGTGTAAAAGAACTTGTGCACGTATACACACACACACACACACACATATATATATATATATATATATATATAAGGGATGCACCGAGGTTTGGCCCCGGCCCCGGCCCCGGCTCTGGCCAAAATCCGGCTTTTTTTCAAATCCGGCCGGATTTGGTGGCCGGATTGATGGCCTGATTTAAGCATCTATCGACATTTAAAAATGTTATAAATAGAAAAAAAATTTCATTGAATTCGATTAATTTCATGTCAATAAGTTAAAAGCTAAGCATACATGACACATAATAACAACATCACTAATTGTGAAATGAGCTGGACAATTTTCTTTTTGCTATAACATGGGTTATGCATAAATTATGAGCTGATCTTTAATTAAAAAAACTTGTGCACGTGTTTATACTATATAATTGTAAATGACGGATCATATAGCTACATAATATATATATTTACATAAAGATACATAAGCGTATAATTTAAGAACATGGTATGTTAAAGGTTAGGCTAGGCATACATGACACATAATAACAACATCACTAATTGTGAGGTGAGCTGGACAATTTTCTTTGAGCTATAACATGTATACATTATAAGCTAATCTTTGTGTACAGAATTTGGCGTATCACACAGCTTATTCATATATTTGAATTTGTTAACTATTTGCTTGGTGTTATTTTTTGATGTTCAATATGTAGATAACCGTAAATGTGAGTATTTTTTTAACGTATGTATAATGGTAACTAAAATCCGGCCCCGGCTCCGGCCGGGGCCGGTATTTTAGTTACCATTTTAGTTATTAGTTATATATATATATATATATATATATATATATATATATATATATATATATATATATATATATACATATATATATATATATAAACGCATAATTTAAGAACATGGTATGTTAAAAGTTAGACTAGGCATAAAGGACACATAATTATTGATACAACATCACTAATTGTGAGGTGAGCTGGACAATTTTTTTTGTGCTATAACATGGGTTTTGCATAAATTGTAAGCTGATCTTTGTGTAAAAGAACCTGTGCACGTACATACATGACACATTATACATCACTAATTGGAGGTAAGCTGGACAATTTTCTTTATCCAGTAACATGGGTTATTAATATATATATATATATATAGAACTACATTTTACATATAACTATATTATATACATATGTATATATATATATATATATATATATATTATGTTAAGCGCTTTTTTAGTGTATAAAGAGCTCTATATAACTACTCATAATATAAATAATTATATTTTTTTACGCGGTGAGTCATGAAACAAATATGTCAAAGTTAAAAGAATTCAAAATTAACAAATACAATCAAAATTAGCAATTAAATCTAAAAAGCGAATACTATAACTTTAAACTTTCAGTAGGAACATTCGAAATTCCTATGTTATGATTTTATAATACTTTAAACTTATCACTTGTCAATTTAGTTGGGTCTGAACATTTTAGAAACAATCTAACAAATTCTGTTTTGTCATCATCATATTCAATATATTGTGACAGAAACACTGATTGAAACGAAATCTAAAAAACTAACATCTCCTATTGGTATTCATCCGTATTGAAAAAATAAACTACCAGTTTTGTTAATTTTAATTTATTTTATTTTATCTTATTTTATTATATCGACTGTTCTTTTTTTGATTGAATAAAAAGCAGTGTTTACGTTATTATTACTGTTATTATTATAATTTCTAATGTTACGTTTGGGCTTTTTATATATATAGATTTTTAATAATAATTTGCGAAAAACGTCATAAATTTTTAGCATGGGGAATGTTTGTTTTAACTATAAACATCTTTCATAAATTTGAATAACTTTGAAAACATACTTTTTAAGTGTTTATATTATTTTAATTCAAGCCATGAATAAATAGGAAGATATTAAAAGTTATTTCAAATGTAAACTATTCTTTGTTTCTTTATTGTAAAAATGTAATTCTACATTAATTATTTATTGTATTTGAAAGTAACTATAATAAGTTATCGCGTTAAACATAAGAACGAACGCGTTATTTTGCATCACACGTATTTGCGTGAAGAAAAAATGTTTGTAACAGCTTTTTGATATATTTATATCGCTGCATCTCTTAAATGAAGGATTATATTTATAGCCATAAAGTCTCAGTAATAAAAAAATTATTGGGCATTAAATGATTTTATTGAAGTTGTTGGTAGAAACATGTACCGCTATTGGCTATTCTTCACATTTCTACCTGCTATTTTTATTAAAAAAAACACGTGAGAACATGAGCAGGAGCAGAAACCGGCTTTGAAGGTCAACTGTATAAACAAAATTCAAAGCTAACGTTTATAACATTTACATCATTTTAAAATTTAGCTCGACTGAAACGTTCATCGTGTTGAATTTTGTCAAAAACGTTTTAATGTTTTTATTGAAACTTAAATAAGATTTTATTGAAACTTAAATAAGATTTTATTGAAATATTTGAAAAACAAATCAAAATATATGCTTATTCTGTGCTTTAAATTTTTTTATCATAAAATGAAAAAGCTTCAACAGAAAGTTTGTTAAATAACATAAAAAGTGCTTTTGTTCTTCATCTGATCAAAAAATAATAACGTTTTCATCTGCTTTCGTAGATGCAGTGAAAAAAATTTTTCGATGAATAGTCTTGTAACATTGCAATCAAACAAACTTTTTATAAATCTATGAAAAATTTTATACGAGTATTATATTATATAATTCAAACAACGTAGAACGTTGACGGATTGACAGATTTACAGCCTAAACGAAAATATAAAATTCAATTGTTTTTTAAACAAAAAGTTCAAGTGCTAAAAACTTGGGTACTCTTTAAACCTTGTTATTGTGTGAAATAATAATCAATAAATTAAAATAATTTAACAAACAGTTAATTGACAAGTGTTGTAATACAATAAAAAAGAAATAAATTTTTAACGAGGATGAAGTAACGAACTAATGCCGATCATTTTTGTTCCTAATTCAGTTTTGTGGTTCGTAGGAAAAAACAGTTATGCAGCGAAACAAATAAAATAAAATTTTATTAAGTATTTCTTGCTGTAAAATAATCATAAATTTCAATGGTTTGAATGGGGATGTGAAGGACGGTGAGTTGCAGCTGTTGCCTCATGTCCTCGTGCTTAGCAACATTACTGTTTGCGCCAGTTCAACCATGTTCATGATGACTAACTGACGAATGTATAAATACCATGCGATGTCTACGTCAAAAATCGCGTTACAACTGCAGACATTTCTACTGTTAGAAAGCATTTTAATAGTGGTAAGCCGCTTTTGTTTGATAACTATGAATAAAAAAATTTTTAGTGATAATTCTTCTACTATTTTTTAAAAATACTTAAATTATTAATTTCAGTTATTATTCAAGGTTTAATAAAATTTTTTTTTTATTATCAGAAAAATCTGAAATGCGTTCCTTAGCTGTATTTCTAATGTGTTTGGCAACCAGTTAGACTTTTTTTATATTACATGTTAACATTTTTTACTCAAAAAAATAAAATTATCAATTGTTATTCAATCCTGTTTAGCAATATTACTCACATTTTTTTGCAATCTTATCAAATTTCCAATACAGCTAATGCCATGATCGCAGTGCCCGATGGATTCCAACTTGCTGAAAAAAGCTGGCCTGAGCTGAAAGATAAAGTATGTTTGCTTTAAAATAGCAGTATAATTTTTGTAACAATTTAATTTCGTTATTTTAGAAAATGCTCGATGTTAAACAAGCCATTTTGAAAGATATGCCAAATATTGGAGTAAGATCCTTTTTGTTTCGTTCTTGTCTATTTTGTTTCAATTCATTTTGCCAAATAAATTTTGACATTCATTTTGTCAAAAGTTAATTTTGAATAAATTTATTTTTTCTAACATTTCTGTAACTTTTATTTCACTTAATATTCTAATGCTGTTTTTCTTCAACGTTCATTTTAATTCGTTTCGTTTTGTTTGACACCGGCTGACCAGAAATTGAAACTGAAAAACTGTGACAAAATGAGGCGCAAATTTTTTTGCATAAAAGTTCACATGATATAACTAAATCATATAAGTTTAATTTTTATAATAAGATCGCTGGCATTCAATCAATGTTTAGTTGAAATAACTCTTAACAATGAAGTTTATTTATTTATATGTTTTGCACTAGAGTTTTTTTTATAGATCCTATAAATTTTTTTTAATCTTTCGTATAATTCAAATTATTTTTAATCCTCAATAACCGCTTTAAAAAGTTATAAAATTTTATTTTTATAGCATTTATATAACATCGAGACATGTTTATAATTAGGAAGACCTTTCCCGGCAGCTAGAACAACTTGCCCAAGAACGAGACTGTTCAGTCTAACATTATTTTATATTAATTTTTATCGCCTAAACATATTTATGTAAGTCCAAAATTTATTTGGTTTGGCGTCATTTGGCATAATGTGTTTTCAACCGTTGTTTTAGTTTTTGAATTCCTCACAATAAGCTAACATGTCTATAAGTTAGTAAAATATATTTCTATGAACGCGTTTATTTATTTGTTAAAAAAACTCTCAATTTAATGAAATTTATAGAAAAACTTTTTTAATATTTTTATTTATATTAATTTTACAATTTTCAAAGTTCAGAGAATTTCCAGTTGATGCTTCAAAATATTCTGAAGAGTTTTGGTACAATGAAGTTAAATTGGTTTACGACAAATCGAACAATGTTGTTGAAGTTCCTGCTTATTGGGGAATTGGTTCGTTCAACTGTTTTGTGTTTGATTTGAATGCAGCCACGTTAAACAGATTTAAAATGATGTTTAAAAATTTGTACTTAAGTAAACATGTTTAACGTAATAATGCCGATAATTTTATTCACGGTTTGGCAAATTAAAGGTTTTGAAACGTAGGCCCGTACGTAGGTTCGTCTTTTGTGTTTGTTAAAGTACATGTCTACTTGTCATGAAATGTTTTAAAAAGCTTCTTTCAAAGTGTATAATTTTTTATTAAAATACCGTTTTTAAAATTTAAATTTGTTATTTTGATCTCAGGTATTGTTGTAATTTGTTTTAAATAGTCGGACGAATTTGACGATTTCAGGATAAAAATTCGCTACATAGAAATATTGTTATATGGAATTAGTTAAGGAAAATTACAAAAAAAATTTTGTTAGAAATATTGAAAAATTAAGAAAAAAACTATCCAACGCTAATTCAATCTAAATTCATTTTGACAAAGTCAATATTTCCCTATATTAACAGCAGAAAGCACTGATGATGATTCATTCGGAATCGAAAGCCTTATTTTCAGCATGAAATCAGAAAATAAGTTTATTTTGAATTTTAACAAACTAAACGTTCACCAAAAAACTTTAGTGAGAAAAATTGAAAAAACGAACTACAAACATATTAACGCCAAACATTCGGTAGAATTTATAGAATATTGTAAAAAATATATATATATATTCAAAAGTTAGTAGAAAATGGCGCCAGGATAGTTTTAAAGAAAGAATTCGAAAAGTTGTTATAAAACTGAAAAGAACTTTTGCTCATATAACCAGAGTTGAAACCTAAAAAAACTTGCTCATTCAATGACGATTGTCACTGTTATAATAAAGCTTGCAGTGATAACGGCAGATTCATAACAGTCAGGTGAACCTGGTGACACTCAGTCACCTACACACGTCAGTACTCAAGAACATGGTTGGAGGGGAGTTGTTAAATTCAAAAAGACTTAGAATGTTTAAGAACAAAATGTAACGCCTATTTTTAAAAAAAAATTATCTTTCTATATTTTCTGGCCAAAATTCTTATTTTTTACACTACTATTAGGCTTAATAAGATTAAATAGCGTTTCTCTCTGTATTTATGAACAAACTAACGGAGCATTTTTGTCAAACTTTTTAAAACTTTCAGACGCAATGTTGATACCACAAGGTTTAAAGAAGAATCACGTCACTTTGTGCAAGCATTGTCTGTCTATTGATGTTTTCTAAAGTTCGCTAACGATAACATAAATCCCTTAACATTATCCGGACTCTTCCAAATGTATCTGTGCCTATTTTGCAGACGGTGTGTTAGTAATGGGCAGCTTATTTGGAACAACAAAGTATACCAGTGTTCAAGTCTTTAATTTGTGCATTGAAGCGAAACATGTCATTTTTTGAATTCTTGCAGTAACTAACTGAGTTTCTTTCAGTAACGGGTCAAGAGAAAATGCGGAGATGCAGGCAGCCACAAATAAAGAAAATTATAAAAATTCTGTGTATAATAGTGTAACGAAGTATATGGAAATTAGCGAGGAAAGGCAATCAACTCTATACAGTTTTGAAATCACCCCGGCACCAAAAGTTTCTGCCACTCAGTCTCTATTCAATTAGTATATATAGTTCTGAAAATAACCATTTTGTAAGTTTGGTGCAAACAAAACAGACGATTAAAAAATTTTGAATAAAATTGTTTTATTCAAACTTAACAATAAACTGTTAAGTACGTAGTAAGTTGAGCTTTATAATTTGTAACATTTTGTTGAACATTTTATTTTAGCATTGTTTTTTGGTAGGTAATTACGAGAATGACTCACAAGTGTAAAATAATTTAATTTAAATAATTTTTGTTTAGAACCAAATTTTGAGTTGGTATCTCCCGTTATTGGACAGGTATGTTTATATTCGATTCATTTCATTCACATCACCCTAATAAGATAAAATAACAGAGACCACACTCAACAAAATACTTATAAATAAATATTGTGAACAAGACAAAAAAAACAAAATTAGTTTTTACTTCCTTTACTTCATTAAATTTGTAAACAGTTATAGGTTATAGCACAAACACAAAAATAATAACAACAATTCACACTAATGAGCACAGACCGAAGTTTTTGTTGAATTTTAAAATTGCCTGTAAAATTGATGTGATAGGTCTAAACTTTTGGAAAACATTTAGTATATTCTGTCACGAACGATGATTTAGATTGTTCTTTGAAAATTGTCAAAATAGTCAAGTATTAAGAAAGTGTTGGCTTTCGTTTTTATTTTTAAATGAATCACAGAATGGCACCAAAAAATGAATTTTAATCTGCAGAAGGTGTTTAGAAACGTAATTAATGTTTTGGTTTTCAGGTTTTTATATTTCTTTAAACAGTGAACATTTTATTAAACAGGCCTACAATAAAGTTGTGGATTCCTTCGGAACTGAAATGCCAAAATTGAAAGTATGTGTGAAAGATAACATTAGTAGAATTTTTAACTTTATTCACGACAATAAAACATTTTTACATTGTTAAACTAGATCTCGTTCTCTACAAATTTAAACATGAATCGTAAAATTTTGTTTATATTTTCAATTTAAAAGTCAATGTTTGCTAAAAAAAATTTAATTAACAGGTATGTGTGTACAAAAACAACAAGGAAATTTTTTCCACTGATGCAGCTGTGAAGAATTATGCAAGGCTCGACGTGGATGATGATAACAAAGTTAGTGCTGTTGAAACGGTGACATTAATAATGAAATTTAGTGACAAATATTTATGCTGGAAAAAAATAACAAAAAAATTTATAGATATATTTTATACATTCCATGAATATGTGCTGGACGTTTAGTTTAACATTACAATCTTTTCATCAATATATATATATATATATATATATATATATATATATATATATATATATATATATATATCATATATAAACCAAAGTCTCTCATTTCTGTTTTAAGGGACGATAAAATATTACAACGATGTGGAAGTAGCAATAGATTGTCTAATATTGTCGCCACAAACTCTAAATCAATTTTTTGGACTCGATATTTGCTAATTTGATAATAATTTATTCAAGGTTGAAAAAGAGCCATACTACGTGAGAGTTCCAGCCAAGAAGTGAAATGCATGATTTATTACTACAATATACAATATACATTTATATTCATTAATTTAAATAATTGACACCAATTGTTGATTAATTTTAACTGAAAATTTGATTTTATCAAGTGAAAATGAATATATCGCAATGTTATTGTTGTTCTTTCAAAATATATGAATGATATACGCCAACTAAAATTTTTTTATATTCTTTTAATAGGGGGAAAATTTTAATGATAAAATTTAGATCAAAATTAAAAAAAGGAACATTTAAGAACACCTGCAGTACCTGATCCAGATTGTTTCGAGATTTTGTCACATTTGCGTTGTTAGCCGGCAATATAATTTATTTAATAATTTTTAATAAATTAAAAATTTAATAAATTTTTCAAACATTAAACAATATTAGAGAGAAATAATATTAACCATGAAAAACAATTTGCTTCACTTAACGGGTAGAAGCGAGGCCAACGCGTCGGAATTGTGTACTTGTATGCTAATGAGTAGTTTACGCAAGGTCCCTTTTTGAAATATTTTTAATTTTGATTTAATCTCAAGTTAAAAAGAAAAACTATTTTTTATTAAAAAAGACAACTAATAAAATGAGTTTTATAACAGACCTATTTTCATTACTGACTGAGATTAACTAAATTTTACCATTATAATTAAAGTACCTACTAAAATTAAAGAATGTAAATTTTCAGTTTTTTCAACAAAATCTTACTTCAAACTAGAAAAAACTAAATTTTCTGCATTAACTTGCTCGATTGATAACTTAGCTGAAAATTAAAAAAATTCATGCAAGATATATTGTTAAGTGACAGGTATTGTAAGAAGATTGCGCAGAACTACCTATGTTTTTTTTATGTATTTGCATATTCATCTACTTGTTCAAATCGTTTTTACTTGATGACATATTTGTCTAATAAGGGATTACAAATTCTACATCTCTCATCCGACTTCGACACTTTATTTTTTCCATTCATTATCCTTATTTAAACTACTGCATTCTCTTATGGAGAAATATTCCAAAATGTCATCTTTACAATCTAACTTTGACTCAAACCTCTTCCATATACAAAACCCTACTTTATTAAACATAAAATTTTGACCATCAATCTGCTTTACATCTATTTCTGCTCAATAATTGTACTCAAATTTTTAAATAATTTGCTTCCGAAAACATTTTTAAATTTTTATACACAAAGCAATTTAATTAAGTCTTACTTCACAAGACATACTCCTCTCTTTCTTTACAGCTACAAAACGTTACTCAAATTAATTTCATCCAGTTTAAAACATACTGGACCATTAATATGGTCTAAATTTGTTCCCGCAGATATATCAAATTTGAATAAGTTGTATTTATTTTAGAAAAAATTTGCAATTTTGCTTTTTACCTTATATCCCGACATCACTTTTTAAGCCTGATGTTCATACCTGTCATTGTTTTAATTTATTTAAAAAATTGTTAGTTTCTCAAAGTATTGACTTGATATTTTCTGTTTTTTCAGCTTTTTTTAAAAATATTTTTAAATTACGTATTTTATGTCGTAGTTAAGGGTGGCCTATCCACAAGTTATATAGTTAACTTATTTTGGCTTCCCTTCAAACAAAAAGAATGTAAAAAAATGAAATAAAATTTTTTTTTATTGTCGTTCCATATCAAATGTCATTTTATAATATATCATTTTAGAACATTTTTAATAAATATGCCATATTTATTTGCCATAAAAAACACCACGGTTTAATATTTTGTACAACCTACAAAAATTTGAAATTAAAACGCTTGTTAATTTTTGCTATTCACAATTATAGGGCTTGAATTATTACAGCACGTTGGTGTGCATACGACATAGTTTATCGGCTCAATGCTATATATTGATGATTCCCTATATGTATCTATTCTATATATATATATAGCTAAACCAGAAAGTTTTTTAAACGAGGTAAAAAGTGCTTTGGTCAATACCTGATGATGAAGTGATAACGTTTTAATCTATGTGCTGTGAAAAAATAAATAACTCATTGAATAGCTTTGTAACATTGCAACTAGACAACATTTTTATCAATCTATATAAAAATATAAATGAGTAAAAAATTATTCAGACAACTTAAAATGCAGTTGAAAAATAACTAAAAGTTGCATTGGCAAGATAACATTGATTGTAAATCGTTTTTTTAACAAAAAAAACGGCTAAAAACTTTTGCACTTTTTGAACTTTTTTTTTCATAAGTTTGTATGAAATAATAATAATAATAAATAATTTAAAATAATTTTATCAACAGCTAGTAGAAAAAAGTTGTAAATAAAGAAGAATTTAAAATTAAACGAGAATGAATTTACGAACTAATGCTAAACATTACTTATCCTTTTTGTTTCCAATTCAGTTTTGTTAGTTCGTGAGGAAAAGAGTTATACAGCGAAACGAATCAAATAAAACTTTATAATGTGTTTTTGTGCCGTAAATAAATCCCAAGGTCCCACAACGAGGCAATCCAACGATTGAAAAGGTAGGTACTGATGTGAAAGAGGTGAGTTGCAGCTGTTGCCTCACGTTCTCGTGCTTCGCAACATTACTGGCTGCGCCCGCTCAACTACTTTCATGATAACTAACTGACGAATATATAAATACCATGCGATATCATATGAAAAATCGCGTTAAAACTTCAAACAATTGTTAGAGAAAGCATTTTAGGTGTGGTAAGCCAATTTTGATTGGTTCTTATAAAAAAGAAATTTTTTTTATAATGTTTCTATAATTTTTTTATATTTAAAATAATAGTTTAAATTATTAATTCAAAGTTTAATGAAATTTATTTTTATTTATTATCAGAACAATCTGAAATGCATTCTTAGTTGTGTTTCTGATGTGTTTGGCAACCAGTTAGATTACTTTTTATATTTTATGATATTACTTTTGACTTATTTAATTAAAACTAAAGATTGTTATTCAATCTTGTCCAAAAGCAACTTTATTTCTTGAACATTAATCAACTTTTCAATTCAGCCGATGCATTGGGGTCTGTCAGAGGATTCAAAAATGTTGAGAGAACTTGGCCTGAACTACAATATAAAGAATGTTTGTTTTATTAACGCAATAAAATTTTCTGAACAAATTTTTTTTCTTACTCTAGAAATTGGATGACGTCAAAGAAGCCATTTTGAAAGATATGCCAAATGTTGGGCTACTTGCTTTCGTCGCTTCTTTTTGTCGACAAAAGTTGTGATGCGTGCCAGTTCGAAATCAGAAACCGCCGCTTGTGAGCTTGTCCTCCACTCTGTACGTCCAAGAGCAACAACACCCATGGATTTAAGATCCAGTCTGCATGTTTTCAAGTTTTCAAACTATCTTTTAGTTTTCAAACCAAACCACTTGCAAATTGAGCTCCAGAACCAAGTAATAACACCTGTTTTAAAACTTTTGCATCGAACATGTGAATTACATGTCCATCCAACAAAACTGGGCTTGCAGCAAAAGTTCTTCACTACCCATGATACCACACATGATACCACACATTTTCAATGCAGTCGTATTTGGAATTCTGTATTCCCATTTAACATTAGCAATAATTTTGAGACACCTCATGGAAAATTGATCACGTCTGCGGATATGACTTCTTTAGTCTCACAGCCTTATAACAGTGATTTTAGCAAAACTGATATTTTATTAGCTAGTGTCACATCCCGTTCTTTCCAGTGGCGTCTACTTAGATCACCAAAAGCAGCACCAGCCTTAGAAAGTTTAACTGAAATATCATCATCGATGGTTGTAGTGTCGGAGATGTAACTGCCAAGGTAGCAAAATCTATACACAACTACTAGTCATCGACCGTTACGAAGGCTATAGCATTTGATGAGATAGGATAGTTTTGGTGCAAGACCTTTGTTTTTTTTGTTCATATTCACCGTGAGTCCAAACGTTTTAGCTGCTGCATGGAAATGGTTGAACAAGGCCTGACTTCATTTTGTGAATACGCAATCAGAGCGCACTCATCAGCTAAGAGCATGTCGCAAACTATGGTGATTTGAGTTTTTGACTTTGTCTGTAATTGTCTGTTGTTAAATATGTCTCCATCCGTGCGGTAACAGATAAATATCCCCTTTTCAATAATTAAAAGCAGCTTGGAGCATTAGGGAGAAGTAAAGTAGCCATGACGCATCTCCGTTTTGTTCCATTTGTCATCTTGAAGTCCAGAGATCGATCACCATTTTCAACTTTTCAACAACGCTTGCTTTCATGTAAAGAGCAAAATGTTGAAACAAAATCGCGGTAGAGCCAATCTTCTCTAGAAGACATCTTCATAGCGCCGATCGATTGATAGAATCGAACGTTTTAGTTAAATCGATAAAAACATATAAATGATCATGCTGCTGCTCGTGAAATTTTTTTGTTGTTGTCTTGCGGTAAAAATCATACCCTTAAGACCACGTCTAGACCAAAAACTGCACTGGCCTTCTAAAAATTGCTTGGTCAGATGATCGACGACCACTCTGGTCAATATTTGGCAAAGACCGAATAAAACAGGGATATTTTTCTGTGATCACCACAACACAAACGATTGCCGTTTCGTTTGAATATAATCCTGTGGAACCTATTTTTTCTTCCACATGATCTTTAACATCGTCACCATCCTCACTTTAAGTTCTGCAGGTAATCGGGAGCTTATCCATTAGACACCCACCTGTAAGATAGCTTTATAAACTTCAGACAGACTGGAGGGATCGTCGTCAAGATCACACATAACAATTCTGCAAGAACCGCATCATCAACCGAGGTCTGTTGATTGAGCACACCGTTGAAGTATTTAGCCCATCGAGCCAGGGTTTCATGGTCATTCTTGATTTGTGTGTGTCCGTCCTTTTACTGCACCGGAACACTACCCAAGTTGCGAAGACCAAATATTGTTTTTAAATAAATTTCAATAGAATATTTTTCTCTATATATATATATGTTCGTAAAATATAACATGCTATTTTAATAATTCTCCTCTTTATTTATTGAGCGATTTTTTTAATTTGTCAACAGTTGGTGTATTACAAATCTTGTTTGATATGTAGTTTCAAATATAACTATCTTGTAATTTGGAACAAACAGAAAGAGGGTATAATTTTTTGTGCGAAATTATTTTACACAAACTGAACAATATACTGTTAAGTGCATGTTAAATTGAACTTTTTAATTTGTTACGTTATGTTTAACATTTTAATTCAGCATGTTTTTGTGTAATTTGTTATTTCATATAAAGGAAAAAACTAATAACTTTAAATTTCAAATATTTGTTTTATAGAACCAAATTTCAAGTTAATATATCCAGTTATTGGATATATTAATTAACTCTGTTTTATTAGGAACAGAAAATAATTGAGAAATGATATTGTTATGTTAGTTATAGAGAAGGAAATATTAAATTTTTTTATGGTAAATCACGCGTGCTTCTATTTCGTGATTAATCGTCACTTATTTTAAAGTAGGGGTTAAAAAAAGTTTTGTTAAAATTTTGATAAGATAAACAAAGATTTCAGTCATTTAAAAAGTCAAAAAGTGCTCCCAAATTCCAGTGAAATAAAATAAAAAAAATTAGATTTTGTAATGTAAACAGAAATAATTGCAAAATCAATCTTTTGTATGATGATAAACTTTGCAGATTAAATTTTCGTCATTCCTCTGTGATTATTCATTGAAAAATAAATCGGTTCGATTTTTGCTGAAATATTTGTTGAAATGACAGAAATTTGATTACAATGTTGATATGAATTTGTGTTTATGGAATGAAAATTGACTACCTTTAAAAACATGGTTGTACATTAAAAGTTATAAGTTTTTGCTGAATCGCAAAAAAAAGGATTAGCCTGTTCAGTTTGATGCAATAGAATTTTTTTTTATTGAAATCTTTAGTAAACTGTTATTATTTAGATAATTTTTGAAAAATTATCAATTTTTCAAAAAAATATTTGGTTCTATTTTTACTCTTAAACAAATGTCATAATCGCATAAAAATATAATTAAATTTTTATCTACAAAAGGTGCATTGTAACGTAATTGATGTTTCGGTTTTGTATTTTTTTAACTTTGTAACGTTACTAAGCAGATATTCGCTGGTGTTGTGGCTACTGTCCAAGCTAAAATTCTAAATCTGAAAGTATGTGTGAAAGATAATATTAGTAGAATATTTAACATTATTACAATAAATCAATTTTCACCTTGTTTAATTTTATCTCGACCTCCTTAAATTTAAAATGTGAACTAAATGAAGAACCGTTCCTGGCTTTAAATTCTGTTTATTGTTTTTACTTAAAAGCTGAAAATCAAAATTTTGCTAAATGAAAAAATAAAATCAACAGGTGTGTGCGTACAGAAACAATCAAGAAATTTTTTCCACTTCTGCGACAGTCGAGGATTATGCAAGACCCGACGTGGATATTTATGATAAAGTTAGTGTAACTAATCCCAGTAACAAAATTTTATGTAAAAAATATAGCAACCTTATTAAATGTAGGAAAAATTAAATTATCAATCATAAGTTAAAAGTGCTCTTAAACATTGAAAAGACGCATTCGAGTAAATAATAATGTAAAACCAATAAATTGTTTTTTAGTGCAATTTAATGGTCTTTCTGTACAAACGGTTAAATTTACGCCATCTAGTCTCTTTGAAAGTTTTGGTTCAGTTTACTGATTTTCAAATTCTGAAAGTTTTATATACACTCAAATTCAAACTACTAATTGACTAATTTTGATTTTAACATAACTCAAGGCCCGAGAGTTTGTTAGTAACTTTCATGACATTTATTATTTGTTAATCACAAAGTCAAATTTGAAATCAAAAAGGCACAACAATTTTTTGATCATGATCTATTAGATTTGAAGTTGTTTTACAAATATTTGAAGTCAACAAGTTACAAATGAACCAATCAAAGCGCTCAAATGACCTAATGGTAAAATAACACAAGACCCAAAAAGAACTGCTAATCTATTAAATAAATGTTTTTTAAGATGTTTTTGTAGTAGGAGACAATGGTGAACTTCCTTTGTTTGAAATTAAGTTTAATTTAATGAAAACTTTTATAATTTTGTTCATCTCGACTCTGATGAATTAATTATGAGCAAGTTAATGAATAAGTCTTGAACCAAACAAAACATGTAATCTCTATCCAATACTCCTAAAAAACTGTGCGGAGTGTTTTGCTCTACCAGGGACATTAATTTTCAAAGCATGATTAGCCACCAGCCAATTACCAATACAGTCAAATTCAGCAAATATGACACACTTGTTAGAAAATGTGACAAAACGTTGGCTGAAAACACATCAAACTGGGTAAGTTTATTTATTGGTGTACCTTAAGTGTCAGTTATCGGTCCATTATTGTTCATTTTGCACGAAAACGATCTGCCACACTGTTTCTTAAATGTGTCGAAACTATATGCTGATGATAACAAATTCTTTCTAAAATGGATTTTGATCATTGCGTTTACAAACTCCAATCAGAACTTAGACAGAGGTTTTAAATGAACACAAGACTGGCTGTTAAAGTTCAACAGAAATAAATGTGTGTTTACGCATTAATGATGTAATAACAAAATGAACACCTTTTAGATAGATGGTAAAATCTTAGCCGATTAAGAAATGAAGAAAGATCTTGGTATGGTGTTTAGTACAAATTCATAATGGAAGACTCTATTCATTGCGACAGCAAATAAAGCAAATCAAAAGCTTCAAAAATCATTTACCCATTTAAACTGCAAGCAAATGAAAAATTTCTAATTCGGCTGTTATAGTGTGCCTGACAACACACTCACTGACTCCTTTGCCAGTCTTCAGTGTACTTTACTACAACTACTATTAGTACGACTACTAGTACTACTAATACTACTACTAATACTACTACTACTACTACTACTAATTAAAATTTAAACAAATTATAAAATAAAACTGTTAATGACGAATCAAAGTTGTTTTTACTTTTAGTATAATGAAGTCGTTTTCTCTCAATTTTTCCATCCATAATCATATGAGCTCACATTGTTGGCAACATTGAAAAATTAAGTTTTCAAAATTCTAAATTTATTTAATAATTATAATAGTGAATTTTCGGACATATATTTACGTTGTTAGTTTATAATAATAGTTTGTTGTACCGGTTGTTGTTGGTTAACAATTTTTTCTACAAAGCTAATTAATAAACTGCTACAATAATCATTCAAGGTTGAGAGAGTACCTCGCGGATTAAAATATCTCTGCATGAATCATTAACAAAAATTATTTATTGTAAATTCATTTTAAAAAATTTTAATTTTAATAATTGACATTAATCATTGATAAAAGAATATTAGTTATAACTAGAAATTTGGTTTTATTTTGTGAAAATATTCTTACCGCAATGTTATTGCTGTTATTTTAAATTATTACAAAATTGGATTAATTTAGGCCGAATGTTGAATGAAAGTATTTTACATTCTTTTAATATGAAAATCATTTTAATTGTGGAAATTTAGATCAAAATTTAAAAATTTGAAAAGACACATTTTTATGTGCCTAAGTGTCAAATTATCATGTAATAACTGTGAGCAACGATTCTCAGCTTCGTCGCTCGTCGTCCACACTACCGAGATACACAGCGATTTGTAAGTTATTATGATTAACATCTACCAACAGTCAATTGTCGTCTATTAAAACTCCATTAAATATGTTATAACATCCACATAACGCCAGGAGTAAAATTTTACGTTAAGATAGTTAAAGTACTCTATTTTCCAAGAATGTTCGATTTTTCAGTTATGCTAATCGATCACCAAATACCACAGAACATCGTTCATCACAACCGTTAATTTCAATACGCGAACAATTTAGAACCGAACAAAGGTTAGGGTTAGGGTTAGCGAGTTTCTAAGAATTTCTCCATGACAGGTTTTGGAACTCAAATCTATGTAGAGTATGGGCAACGGTCAACGAATTAGAGAATCATAGAGAATAGAGGTTTCATATGTATGCATATGTTAATTGGTTTTAAACATTATAAATTTTTCATATTTTATATATGTTTTAAAAATTGATTCTTTAAAAGTCTTAAAAAAGAAAGAAAAATTATTTAATTTACATTTATCTAATCAAACTATGAATTTATGGATTACTTTTTTGAATGTTGGGGATTCCGCTTAGTTAAGATTTACTCTTTTGGAATGCCCCATTATGTAACAAATTTATTGTTTGTTCTTAACAAACGAATAGACGAATACGAATCTTCGCCCACAAGTACAAAAATACTAATATTAAATAACACGAGTCACCAGTTCCAGATTGCTTCTAAATATTGCCACATTTACGTTATCCGCAAGCAGAATTCTGTACTTTATAATTTTTCAAATAATAATTAAATTAAAAATTAACTGAATTGTTCAAACGATAAAAATATAAGCGAGCAATGTATCACATTGTAAAGACTCATGCGTCGCAAAAAACATTTGAAAATAAATCAATTTAATTCTGTCAAGAAAATATGTTATTTTATAAATATTTTTTATTTACGTCAATTATAGTAAAATATTTATAATATTTATAATTCAGAATAAAAACAACTTCTGACAATAATAAAATTTTGAAAAAATATAAATGGTCGCATGTGGCTGTATTCGTCGTCAAAGTTTTGTTAATGCAATGAATGGAAACTTCGCAAATGAGTCATCACATTAATTATGGTTTTTCCATGCATCACCGGAGACTACAACACCCAGCAAATTCGTTAAAATACGTGAGTCAGCGAATCATCCAATGGTACGATGCACCGGGATCTTTCCACAGCGCAATCTGGACCACGCAGACCGATGGCGCTTCTTACCATTAATTTTAATTTTCCTTCTTCACGCAGTTTATTCTGTTTATGGTTGCAAGAAAAAAAACATCAACTTCGAAAACTGAAATTTCAAAAATTAGGAAACTGGTTTTTAAATAAAATCTTTATTTCAACCACTATTGAGTACAAAGTATTCATTTACATCGCTTCAAATTTTTAAAAATTAAAAAAATTTTTTTTGCTAGACGTACATTTTAAAAATGTCATCCGCACTAGGAGGTACGATTTTTGATACATCGGTTGATAAGTTTATCTCAGTTTATCAGATCACGAACTTGAATGCTACCTCAGGTGGCGAAAGTCAATGCTGCTTGCTTTTTACAGCTACAAAGATTGTCTCTGGTCGAAAAGTCGAAAAATGTATTTCACTATTTTACTAGCCTAGTAGTGACTCTTGTAAGGTCTAGATTGGACTACTGTAATTCGATGTTGTATGGTGCTGGTGTAGGAGTGGTAAATTAAATTTAACGGATCCAAATTGCTGCCGCCAGAGTGGTTGGAGAGTCTAGACTGTTAACTGATCATGGAACGAATAGGATTTAAAATGGCAGTAGTGGCTGATGGTTGCTGCAAAATGGAGATTCAGTACATTTCAGAGATGTTTTTGTTGAAGAACTAAAGTAGATGTGGGATATGGCGTCGATTTTATTAGAAATAAAATAATAATAATAATTTTTGCAGAAATTTTCAATCAAAGTTAAAATATTTCTTAGGAATGTCTAAAGACTTAAACTCTCTTTTTAGCTAGGTAAACCTTATGTTTTCAAAATTGTAAAAAATTGTCGATTTGCCAATTTTGTAAAAGATTGAGTGAGTACAATTTAGAAAAGAGTAAATTTCAAATAATTGAGAAAGAATTTGTTTGAAGAATTCAAAAATCTCATTTCAGAAATATGTTGATGAGTGTTCAAGGATGTCAAATCTATTCTAAAAACATATTATTTTAATTCCGCTTTCAATTACACAATAATTTTATAGACTGTTTTTAATTATTTACTCATTTTACTTTAACTATAATTTTAATTGTGTAAATTTGATCTCATTTTACTTTAAATAACTTTGCGTAGTTTATTATTAATTTTTTGATATCGAGGGCGCTTCAGCCGCTTGTATTGACGCTCTATAAGTGACATTTATTATTATTATTATTATTTGCCAGAAAATACCTCATTCAACAACTACCTACTAATTCTAACCTCTTCAGATGGGGTAAATCTACAAATGCATCATGTTTTCTTTGTAATGTAGTACAAACTAACAAACAAACATGTCTTATCAAGTTGTGGCTCAGTCTCTGCACTGAAATTGGGCTGATCATTTTAATCAAATGTGTAATATTGTCATCATATGCTTTGTATTGCGATAGAAACAAAGCGTGAACGAACTCTCATAATTTATACAAGCTATCTGCATGGTACTAATTTTAGGATAACGAGTATTGATGACTATTCATATTATTTTATCATTATTTTATCATTCTAATTTATACTTAGCTAATTTTAACATTTTTATTTACCAATCTTATTTCGATTATTTTGATTTTACTGGTTTTTTTGAATAATAAAAGAGTTCACATTACGTATTAAGGGTATGGGTCTGCTTTTATTCAAACTTCAGCGAATTTGTATTTTGCTTATAATTCAATTTAAACATGTTTTATATTGCTGCAAAACTTTCAGCGTTTGATTCTTATGCGAATTTTTTGGCTCGTTGATATCGATAGGTGACAATATTTCTTAATTTAATGATCGTTCCTATCATAGTTCCAATTGGATGGCCGCCCAAATTAAATACAGGCAAAAAAGAAGTTGTAAGGTTTAAATTATTAAATAACATGTCGTGGACTTGTTATTGCTTAATTGTTAACTTTCTGACACGAGCATTTGACACATCGTTTGTGTGCTCCGCTTTTTAATTTTAAACGAATTTAGTCAGCCTCACACTTTCGATGATTACGTTAATGATGATGTATAATACGCATATCATTCACGCACTAAAATCTGTGTTATATAAAGTTGATGTAATTTAATTATAAAACAAATGAAAAATTCATAGCAATAAATAGTAAATTTTGAATGTTGAAAATACATTTAAGTGCTGCTTAACATTGAATGAAATATTAATGATTTTTTTGTAACAAACAAACTATTCGAAAATCATTTACGGTTTCAGAGTTAATATTAATAATTCACAAGACTGGGAAAAAATAAAGTAATTATTGTCTACTTAACATGACATAACTTCTGCAAGCATGCTGCTACTTTTTCAAAACCATCCCAAAATAAGTAATTTATTAAAACACATAACAGAAACTGACTTAATATGAAGTATCTAATTAAAATGAAATAAACAACACAAAGTGGCTGATATAGCCAAATGTGAGCTGAAACTTTGATGAATCCATTTTATTTCTGTTTACGATTTTAGCTCACTTCAATGAAATTATTTTTTTTATTTTTTTAATTTTAATTTGTTCTGTCTGCTGTTTCTACATTTTTTGTATTTATTTTCTTTATTATTTTCCCCAAATCATTTTTGTTGAATAAGTTTTCGAATCAATATTTTTGTGAAATGTGCAACTTCAAACTTTCTGTTTCCTATTGTTTGAGCATGTGCGGTTATGTTTTGATATTAGTGGACAAAATGATCCATCAATTAAAAATGTAACTTAACAAATTACAAAGCACAGTTACAAAAAATGAACTTAATCCAACTTCACTTGCTTATCGAGTGTGATCTGCCATGATGATCATATAATAAGCATAAGTTATTCATCCGAAAATACGGTGATGTTCAGAACATCTGACGATTAAATGAACATACGATGATCATTGAACATGTGATGATCGTATGAATATATGATGATAATCACTGAGTATGTAGTATGATGATAATAAGAACCTGTGATGGTTATAAGACGTATATTTCTCATGTGAAGATATGATACTCGCTCATATGAACGGCTGTGCAGCGCTTCTCGTCAGATTATTTCAGAGGTAATTTTTTGATCTTTTTATAACAAATTTGTACTCTTTTCAGCAAAAGTTATTTGAATTTGATATGACTTGGAGCTGATCTCTATGAAATTGTTCAAAAGTGGACAGAAAAAAAACATAATTAATTAAACTGCATTAATTAATCAATTCATTGCCTTTAAAATTTGATGAGCAAATATTATTCAGTAAAAGCGCTAGTGTACTAACCTATTGATTTCTAATTAAAAAAGAGCAGGTGCCTTGTGAACATTTTTTTAGTCGAATGAATCCTCATGCGCTGTTAAAAACAAAACATGCTTATGTGGGAGAGAACATTCTAGTCAAATTTGGTAAAGATCAAGCGCAACTTGAATGTTTTTCTTAGAAAGATATGCGTAAATGTGTGATAGTGTGTGTGTGTGTGTGTGTGTGTGTTATTTGTATTGAAGGGGATTTTTACGAAAACGGCTTGTAAACAAAATTTTATTTCGTATCGATTATTGATTATTATTTAAGCACCTGCTTCTCGATATTCCTAACGTAATTTTAACATATTTTCGTTTTATTCTAAAATATAATAATAGATTAGCTTAACATTTGAATATGTTTTACCAGTACAATACCGTATTTGATATTTGGAAGCCTTTAAACTTTCAAGTCTTCCAAACATTGGTGAGGAAGATTTCCATTGATGGCTTCACTGACGTCACGTTGGTAATTTTTTGATGATGCCCAACTTATAGATACAAATCCAGTCGGAGCCGAAGGAGAATTTGTGCATCTGTTACATTTTATGTTATAATTTGCGAAAATGGCTTCATTAGCTCGCCTGCACTAATCTCAAACCCAGCACAAACCTTTTATTACATCAATAACCTAATAAATTGAATTCATACTAAATATGATTTACACTTTTTCATTGTTTTGTAGTGAAATTAAAAAAATTCATGAACGTAACGTAACATAAACAGAAAATTATGAGGCGCGAATTCACCGTTCCTACGCTTCCAAAAAATGTATCTCTCAGACCTAATATCATAATAATAAAATATAATAATTAACAACGTGCGTGTAAATGGGTCGCGTTTCGTGAACTGCACGACTTTTGAGGCACTAATGATGCAACTTGATCAGAATAATTTGAAAACCTTAAAGAAATCAAATGTGCAGCTATTATAAGCACTCACATACCTAACCAATTTTTATGCTTTCTTAACCCAAATGTTTTAAACAGTTTCAAAAACTTCTTATTTTCCCTAATTCTTCTTTTATTTACTTACTAATACAAATTTATTTTTCAAATTGCTTCACGATTGAACAAAAAAACTAACTTCTTGTGGCACATGTTTTATAAAAACGGGTAATTTTTTAAATAAATGAACAAACGAATCAGTCACAATAATGTATCAAGTTCATATCAGCGCGACAACCGCCACAAATTAAATTACTTCGAACTCGTCGTTTTGCACCGTAGATATCAAATACGCTTAAACAAATTTTCAGAGAGTTTATGACTAAAACAAAAACGTGTGGTTAGTCAAATAAATAA